GAGGAGGCCCCCGGCTGCCCCATGGGACCGGCTGCCCCCACGCCGGGGCTCACCTGGAAGTCCCCCTGCGCGGGGTCCATGTCCCACAGGGAGTAGTCGCTCTCCCGGTCCCCGTTCTCGTCGATCTTCAGGAAGCCGGTGACACCTGGGGACGGAGGGTGAAGGGCTGGAGGGGGACCCCGGGGACCCCAGCCCATGGGTGGGGGCTCCGATCCCAAAATACCATCCTGGGAGCGGGGCAGGCGGACGCCTGGCAGGCAGCACCCAGCCGGTGTGGGGACGGGGGGGAGACGGGGATGAGGCTCACCGTAGAAGGTGCGGTTCCACATCTGGCGGGTGATGGCGGAGGCGTTGGTGATGGAGCCGCCCCGCTCCAGCGTCTCATTGACGGCCTGGGCGTAGAGCAGCACCCCGTCGTGGAAGGCAGCCGCGATGAAGTTCATCTGGGGGCAACGGAGATGGCTGGGGGACGGGGCACAGGAGGGGGTCCCCGTCCCCTCATTCCCGGCAGCCACAGGTCATCCCGCAGCTCCTTGATCCCAGCGGCCTTGGCTCCACCCTGCGTCCCTGGCTCCGTCCCATGCCCCCTCGTCCCCTTGTCCCCAGCTCCATCCTGTATCCCCCAGCACCTCCAGCTCCATCCCATGTCCCCTTGTCCTCAGCTCCATCCCGTGTCCCCCAGCACCTCCAGCTCCATCCTATGTCCCCTTGTCCCCAGCTCCCTCCCGTATCCCTGAGCAGCCCCAGCTCCCTCCTGCGCCCCCCTAGCCCCGTGCCCCCCCAGCTTTCCCAGCTCCATTCCCCTGTGTCCCACCAAGCCGTCCTTCATGGAGAAGTTGAAGTGGGCGAGCGCCTCCTCCTTCAGCCGCACCAGGAAAGGCCGGTACTCGGGGTTTTCGGGCTCCTTGTAGGTGATGATGGTGACGGCCTGGGATGGGGGAGAGCGGCTGGCAGCGGGGCTGGCTGGATCCCGCTGGGGACGGGGACCCTGCCCGGTCCCCTCGGGGACGGGGGTCCCAGGCTGTGGGCAGGGACTGCCTGCCTTTCTGCCGTGCCTATTAATAGCCTCTGCTCCAGGCAGCGCCGGAGCTGGGACCCGGGGCCATTAATCTCGTTTCCTTCCTCCTCGGCGGCTGCCAGCAGTGGGGAACGAACCGGGGGGAGGTGGGGGCTGCTCCGCCAGCTCCGGCACCCACCACGGCCCTGCTCCCCGTGCCGGGGTACGCACACGTGGGCGGGTGCCTGTGCACGTGCACACGCGTGCGCGGTGGGTGCCCGTGCGGAGCCTCGGGCTCACCTCGAAGGCTTGCCGGGCGCTGGCGTCGTGGCGGGCCCCCCCCCTCCCCCGTCGCTGCGGGCTCGGGGAAGCGGCTGCCCTGCAGGCTGGCCCCGAAGATGTCGATGTAGAAGAAGGCGTAGTCGCCGTGGGTCAGCCCCTCGCGCCCTGCCTGCAGCATCAGCTCCCGCAGCGTCTCCGGGGCGCAGCACACGTAGACGACTGCGTGGGGCGAGACGGCTCATGGCACCCCAAGAACCCCCGTCCCCGGGGGACCCCAAAACCCCAGGCCAGCATCCCGGGGCGGGGGGGGGTCCCGGTTAACGCGCGATGCGGAATCTCGGGAGGGGACGTGTGGTGGGTCGTGCCGCCCAGCGGGTGGAGGGGGGCCGAGCGGGATGCCCAGTAGCAGGGGGTCCCGAACCCCGCTGCCTGCCCCCCCGTGCCCTGCCCGCCTTTGCCCTCCGCCGCGGGCGCCAGGCCGAGGTTTCCTGTTTTCCCGACTCCGTTTCCTCCTCCCTGTGGCCCAGATCGCCGGCAGAGATTGATTCTCAGCAGCGTGGTGACCCCGGTGGGTGCCGCCTGCCCCCACTGCCATGGTCCCCTTTGGCACTGGGTCGTGGTGCCGGCGGGCCCCCAGCCGGGCTGCTGCCCGGCACGGGGCATGGCCGTGCCACCCACCAGGACTGTGGGGCCCCAAAATAGCACACGCCGA